CTGAAATTCAATTGGTTTGCGCCACGATAAAGTCATGTGACCGGAAAATTTTTTGTGGTATAATTACATAGGTTTATGGGGACAGACACCAAATTCAAAAGTTACGTTATTGATATTTTAAATATCGATACATCAAAAATGTAACTTTTGTATCAACTTATGTAAACATAGAATGTCCGTCGCTATGCTCCGGACAATAATGTATAATGGATTATGAATATGAATAATCCTAGAAATCTTTTATGTGATTGATCACAATTGATAGGCTTTGATGATAAATATGTTAGCTAGAACTGGCAATGCACGAGACGTAAATATTTAATGAAAGGAAATTATTGCATCACATTACTATGCTTCATTCATAGCTTTAGTAAAAGCTCTTATGTGTTTAATCATTTTAACCTTACATGATTTAATTTTTAGACATGCAATTAAAGTAACTTCCATTAGATAAAGGTCATTTGGCATAATTTAAACATAAAATAGTCTTAGCAAATATAGTAAAACATGTAAACCATAGATAGAATACGGATTTACAGCTGTTCTCATAAATTCTAAGACAACTGATAAAAATTTGTCCAAAATTAATTCAGCCGAATTCGATAAGCTTTTGATTTCGATATATTTTGAGACAATGTTTGCAAATATGGATATGGACAATTTGGACCAATGGACATGGACATTTAAGGACTATGTCAAATCAAACACATAAGTTCCTGTTCCGAAATGTTCCAAATGCAAACACTACAATATAAGTTGTTACACAATATGTATATATTTATTAATATTAGCTTATCGTTATTGTATGTACGTAAAAAATAGCGAAAAGCTGAATTTCAAGACTAATTTTCATATCATGGAAATTACTGGAATGAATATAAAATACAAATAATCACTGGAATTATGACTTTTATTTATTATCCCATACGCTAAAGTTATACTTTCAAAACGTATTCGTTGGCAAATAGTCGAAAAAAATTTAGAAGGCTTCCCAGTTTGAACAATTGCCAAACACTTAGGTTTACCATTACGGCGCGTTTGTCAAATTTAACTAATTTTTTGTCCCCAAATTTAAGTTTTGGGGACAAAATTTATTATCGATTTTTTAATATTGAACCCAAAAAAAAAATTATTGCCACTCCGATCTATAATAACAATGCGTCTAACCCATTTTCCCCACAGGCTAACCCATCTTCCCACTCTTTGACGCATTTAATTAGACATATAAATTTATTATAATGACACACCTTAACCTGGGAAGCATTGACTATCTTAGCAAAAATTACTATTTACGTATTAGCAGTCAAATTTTTCAAATTTTGGAGTATTTGACAAATGCGCCGTAATATTAATTCATACTGGGTTTCTTTTTGTCCTATAAAATTTTATTAAATATAAGCTATATCGATATTACAAATAAGAATAACAATAATACAAAAATATAAAAAATTGACCTAAAAGCTGTTGTTCATATTTCTCAATACATCCTCGACAAATATTAATAAAAGCTTGAATTTTTATCTCAACTTGAGTTGCATTACTTCTGAGCCAATTAACAAAGTCTTGATCGTATTTGACCTTTTTTTTATTAGCGCCAGATCGTGTGATATGTTTATTAAGAAAGTTTATCTTATGACTAGGACTTCTTTTGCGTTTCAAGTATGAATCTGTCGGTTGGCAAGAACAATTATTGCCGTAGGTTTTCGTACAGACTAAGCATGTCATACAAATTGGACAAGCATTAAGACAAAAGCTTAATAAAGATGGTTGAATTGACATTTTTTACACTATCGTGTTAAAATAAAAGTAGTATGTGCATGTGATACAGAAATTTCTTTTTATACTATAATATCGATGATTATGTATCTGAGATCAAAAGCTTATCGAATTCGGCTGAATTAACTTTCGGCCAAATTTTTATCAGTTGTCCCGGAATTTATGAGAACAGCTGTAAGCTTAATTCAGGCCGTGGATCAAAATATCACCGGCTCACCATTATGTGCAAATACGGTATTTTGAAATAACAGGACCAGGAAATCTTTATTAAAGGTCCTGCCATAAAAATTTTATTTATATGTTTTGCGAATCTGGTTTTTTTATAATGAAGCGAATCAGTTTTACGGACACCTTTAAAAATTAATAATAAAACGGATTTCATTTTAGTCGATCACCTTAGTACATAATATAATATATAAGCTGCTAAAATTTTCGATCTTTTTCGGAACTTCAATTTTTATCCTGACCTTGCTCGTATAGTTCGTTGAATTTCTAATCGGAAAATTTCAACTAATAACAGTGACTTTTTATATTCTATATATATGCGAATCTAATCCAGAGCGGAGACCTTTTTTTTGCGAATCATATAAAGTCGGTGACTTCACAACCTTTTATAATACCGTATCCTATTGTGAATAAGCACTACACCCTCTACCCCAATTTTTAAATGTCAGATTAGCGGAAATCGCAATGAAGTCTTTAGCCAAATTATTATATTATATTTTTTATTTTGATTACCCAAACTATTTAATTAATTTGACTAGTATATCTTTAACCAAATTGGTCAAATAGTTTGATCAAGCTTGACAATTTGATTAGTTATGCCAATCCCGGTAATAATAAACAAAAAATAACAAGAAAAAATTTATGATCATAAGAGTTTGCACAATAAAATTTTTTATTTTATTCAAGAAACTGTAAATACTTTTTAATTTGCTAGGCAAATTGTTTTAAATATAGATTAAAAGATATAAAATATATAAGGAAGAATTTAGTTTGGTTTATAGTTTATTAAATTTACATAATAATAGCATTTTAGTAAAAATAAGTTGAGGGCAGTATGCCGCGCATAATAACAATCAATACAAAGACTAATTAATAAAAGAAGATTATACAGTAGTGATAAATTTAAATGCATGAAAGTGGCAATATTGTTTTAAAACCAAAGATTTATTTTTACACAGTTTAAAAGATAAATAGATATTGAAAAATTAAACATCATAATAAAGTAAATTAATTAGAATTTAAGAATTTTAAAAATTAAAAATTTATTTAAAATAGACAGCAAAAACATTTATATATCTATTTAATATTACACAAAAATAAGATAAAGTTTTTGCGCTTTTTTCTAGTTAACCTTAATTTACAATCTTAAAGTATATATATATAGTAATAATTCTATGTTTACTAAACGCCTACAGTATAATGAATGTTACTATACTACCCACCAAAAGAATAGGAAATGTTTAACTTTGTTATTTCATTAAAAAAACAATTTTGCTTATTAAAAAGAAGATCCTGAAAAAATAATAGTCTGGAATGGAAGAATTTCTTGATTTCTTGTTCTTTGCACTTTGGCAAACGGATTTGCACCTTTAGTTAAATCTTCATATTTTTGGTTGGCAGTAAGATTATTAAAATCTACGTGAATATCGGCATTCTGAGGTCTTAAAGGTTGATTCACAACCGGGTTCATAGGTTGATTCATAATGTAATTCACTATAGGTACTATAGGTTGATTCATAACCGGGTTCATAGGTTGATTCATAATGTAAAAATGAATAATATTATATTATCAATTATCGTTATTTAAAAATTTTCTTTTTTTTAAAAAAAAATAAAAAAGTTAAAAGCTCAGCTTTTTATACATTATTCAAGAAAGTCTCATTAAATGCTCACTTTAAAAAATATGCGTAATGCATTGTTTTTTAGAGGGTTATTTTTAGAGGGTTATCTGAACGTGTTTCATCTAAAATTCTCGTGATATAGTTTTTCTTAAAATAGAACATCATTACAGACCAATTTAGCAACTACAAAGTAGCTATATAGTTACTTTGTAGTAGCTATAGTTTTAGAGTTACTACATGTTAGCAATACACCTACTATTGATTACTACGTTATATACTACTATTTTACTATATTTTTGACTACTACGTTACTACTATTTTACTATATTTTTGACTATATACTACGTTACTACTATTTTACTATATTGTTGACTACTACGTTACTACTATTTTACTATATTTTATTATAATTTACTATTTTGGCTACTGCATTACTACTATTTTACTATATTATTATTATTATTTATAATTTACTATATATACTGTATACATATATATTTGACTACTACGTTACTACGTACAATTTTTTTAAAAAAATATATTTTATAAAATATAGTAAAATAGTTGTAAAATAGTTGTAACGTAGTAGTCAATAGTAGTAGGCATATTGCTAACGTATAGTAACAAACTATAGCTACTACAAAGTAACTATATAGCTACTTAATAGTTACTTTAAAATAGTGCTAAATTGGATGTTTTCTGTATAGACGTTATATTACACAAATCTAATTATCTTTTTGTGCGATGCAAGCAAATCAGAGATATATAGCTGACTGTATGTGCAGTACGTTAAGTCGTAACTGTGGAATATTATAACTTCAGTATATATTGTGTTATATATTTAGTGTATTTTAGACATATATAGTATATATTTTAGTATTATTTAGTATATTTTTGTATATATACGTATATATATTATTTAGTATTGTTTAGTATATTTTAGTATTGTTTACGTAGTATATTTTAGTATTATTTAGTATATTTTAGTATATATTATAATATTTATAGTATATATATATTTTTTTAATATATAATAATAAACTTACCGGGTCAGTTTAGACCGAGCTTCAAGTCAACAAACTTGCTAACATATAGAAAAAGTACATTATTAAGGGTAGGGTGTATGTAGATCAATTTTTATATGATCTACGTGGTATATTGAATTTTTACATAGTAAACAAAAAAATGCTTCTAATAAAACTT